AAGTACCGCTCGTGGCCCGGTCCACGGACGCGGGCTGGGCCCCACACGTCCAGGTGGAGAGTCTGCAGTGGAGCCTCTGTGGGAGGGAACGAGGAGGAGTGAGGAGCGGCGCGCTGCCGCCCCTCGACGCAAGGAATGCAGGGCGGCGCAGGCGAGGGAGGGAGGGGAGGCAGAGACCTGAGAAGACCAGAAACAAGGAAGCGAGAATGCATGCTAGGAAGGCGAGGCAGGGAGGGGTGACCAAGGCGGTGGTGCCACAGGAGAGTGTCGTGCGACAGCCGACGACACTCACACTGTGTAGCAACCTGAGCAGAAGCGTGCAACTGGGGAGACAAAGGGGCGGAGCGCGACGCAGTGGTGAGGGTGTACAGACTGGAGCCTGGCGCACGAGTGAACTTGGCCAGGTGGCGACCAGTCTGGGAGCACGTGCAAATCGCCACACGCTGCCGGCCAGGGGTGAAGGTGTCAACCCCCGCATCCTGGAGGACAGCGTTACTCACCAAGTTCGTAGAGAACGAGGGGAGGTGGAGACCAGACAGCTCACCAGACGGGACCGCCGGACACGGAAGCACAGTGGAAGACCGTGCAAGCACTGGGCCCCCAGAGGGGCCAGCCAGTGAGACAGGAACAGGTGCAGGGAGGGGAGTGACTGTGGTACTGTCGCGAAAGAAACAGCGGGAAGCACCAGAGTCAAGTGTAAAGGTGTGCAAGGCCTGTGCAGGCGCAGTACCAGGGGGAGCAGACTCACAAGCACCAAGTGCTGCAGGGGCTATACCAGGGACTATACCAGGAGCCGGCGGCACACACAAGTAGCAGTCACCCTCAGCACTAACAAACAATGCATACATAGCAGCAAGAATTGCCGCATAGTCAAGATCAAAGATAGGGACATCACGCCTAAGCAAGTCTGCCCAGTTGGGGAACTCAGGAGCATCAGGAAACTTGGCACGCCAGGCGTCGCTAAGTCGAGCGAAGCAGCGCTGCTCAGTGTGAAAACCTGTGCACTGGCGACCAGTGCGGGGACCAGTGCGGATAATATAGGGGCAGCGACCAGGACCCCCAGAAACCCCACGCCTGGCATACCAATCAAGAAGCTGCTGGGAAGTGGGGGTCTGGCGCTGACGCTGCTGCTGCTGGTGCTGCTGCTGCTGCTGCGGCTGCTGCTGGCCCTGACCACCACTGCCACCACCGCTCCCTCCTCCCCCACCGCCGCTGCTCCCCCTTGCACCGCTCACAGTGCCTCCGCCGCCCCCACCACCACCTCCACTACCTCCACCCCCACTACCACCCCCACCACCTCCACCTTCCCCGCCACCTGCACCACCGCCACCTCCACCGCCACCCCCACCGCCCCTGCCACCCCTGCCGCCCCTGCCGCTGCGACGCTTCCCTCTAGGAGCGGAAGCAGCTCCGACCTCCTCAGCACCAAGGTAGTCGTGAGCAGCAGCTGCGGATACGTAGGAGGGGGTGAGAGGGGAGGGGGAGCACCCCTCAAAGAGGGGAGAGCGGGGAGTGCCACGAGCAGCACCTACAGCGAGGATGTTCTTCTCTGCTGCGAGGAGGTGCTTCTCGAAGTCGTCGACAGTGAGAGTGGTGGGGTCTAGCGCTAGGAAGTGGTCCCTGACAGAGCTAAGAGTGTCAGGGAGGCGGGTGACGAGGAAATAGAGAGTGAAGTACATCGGGGGGGGGTTTGCGGCGCAGAACTCGGCTGAAAGAGCGGCACGAAAGCGAGAGTCAGTAGCACGTAGGTGAGAAACTAGGTCCTCAGCAGTGGTGAAGGAGGAAAGATCGGGGAACAGGTACGGTAGCATGAGTCGACCTATGGCTGCAGTGGCCGGGGAGGAGTAGCGCGCAACTACAGCGTCGTACAGTGTCTTAGCAGTTATGTGCTGGCTGAAGTGCGCTCGCTCAGTAATCGGCAGGTGGTTCCTAATAGCTAGGCGTGCAGCAGCATCACGAGTCTGCCACTGGGAGCGTTCTAGAGCAGGAGCATCAGCAGCAGGAGTAACGGCAGTGCCAGAGACGTAATCAAACAGGGAAACGCCCTCTTTGGCATCAGTCAGAAGGAACAGCTGGAGATCGTCTAACCACACAGCGAACTCGAGGGGACGACCGTCAGGCTCGAATGCGAGAACGTTGGGTGTCGCCATATTGGCTTAAGGCAGGAGGCAGCAGGCAGCAGGCCGCAGACAGAGGCAGCAGGCACCAGGTAGGAGGCAGGTGGCAGGCAGGCGGTAGCAGGCAGCAAGCAGGCAGGCTGCAGCAGGCAGTAAGTTGCAGGCAGGCAGCAGGCAGGCAGCAGGCAGGTGGCAGGCAGGCTGCAGCAGGCAGGCAGCAGGCAGCAAGCAGCAGGCAGGCAGCAGGCAGGCTGCAGGCAGGCGGCAGGCAGGCTGCAGCAGGCAGGCAGCAGGCAGCAAGCAACAGGCAGGCAGCAGGCAGGCAGCAGGCAGGCTGCAGGCAGGTGGCAGGCAGGAGCGGCTGCAGCAGGCAGCAGCAGGCAGCAGGCAGCAGGCAGCAGCAGCAGGCAGCAGGCAGCAGCAGCAGGCAGGCAGCAGGCAGCAAGCAGCAGGCAGGCAGCAGGCAGGCAGCAGGCAGGCTGCAGGCAGGTGGCAGGCAGGAGCGGCTGCAGCAGGCAGCAGCAGGCAGCAGGCAGCAGGCAGCAGCAGCAGGCAGCAGGCAGCAGCAGGCAGCAGCAGCAAGCAGGCAGCAGGCAGCAAGCAGCAGGCGGCTTGCTGCGCTAAGCTGCAGGCTGCGCGCGTGGCTGCGGGCAGCGCGCGTGGCGACGAGCTGCGCGCGGCTCCTGGCTGCGCGTGGCGACGGGCTGCGCGCGACTGCGTGGCTGCGCGTGGCGACGGGCCTCGCGCGACTGCGGGCGGCGTGCGGCGGCGGGCTGCTCGGGCGTGGCCTAAACGGGCTGCGCTCGGGCGGCGTAAGTGGCGCGCGGGCGGGGCCTAAACGGGCCGCGCGAGCTGCAGAAGTGGCGCGCGGGCGGGGCCTAAACGGGCCGCGCGAGCTGCGTAAGAGGCATGCGCGGCAAAAAAAAAAGGGGCCGCGCGCGGGCAGCCGAGGCGCGCGCGGGCAGTAGGCAAGGCAGGTGAGGTGGGCCCTAATCCTACGTCCTAAGGACCTACGCTCTAGATGACATGTCGAAAGGCTAGGCAATGGATGATTCAACTATCGAGAGTGTTGGTACAAGAGGAAAAATCTAAGGGGTTGTACCCCACAGTGAGTACCCCACTACAGCCTATCTAACTTAAACATATAAACATATGTTTGACAGTGAGGGCATACCGGTTTGCTGCTCAGAAGCGAAAGCCGCTCCCCCACCTGAAATTTCATCTTATGTACTCGGAGTAGGACATCCCTTGGGCGGCTGGGAGTTGCAAGGGAATCTTGGATAGAGATCACCCTCGTCCAGTTCATATGCCCGTTTCACCTGCCCAACCACTTCAGCTGCTTCGCTGATGTCTTGTGCCCGTCTCCCCACAGTTGTTTCCGCCACTTCAACAGTGCAATCTGCCCGTCCTAAAAAAATGGGGAAGTGGGTTAGACTGCGCGCCGAGCTTGGGGGTTGTGTCTCCTGGTGCGCTGTGTTGAGTATTAGCTCTCGCCAGGCAGGTGGTGCAGCTTCAAGCACTCTTACTGCTGCTAGCTTCGCAGGACCTTTTCCGCCAAGCTCCTTCAACAGAACACTCATGCCTTTAATCGCACGAGCTCTGTTGCTGTCGTACCCGATCAGATCGCCCAGCATCCCATCCCACAGCCGCTCACGTCTTTTTCCCCCCCTACCAGAGTTGTACCCTTCAATAATATTTTCCTGTTGATAACCGGTATCCCCCTCATGACATCTTCTCTCATAACTGCATCCAAAAGATTGCCCAGTGGTGTCTTTATAAAACCTTTGCAGGCCGCCTTCCAACGAGCGCTCCTCCCTTCCCAATGTTGTAGAAGTTTCTCATGGGCGAAGAAAGTTTCAGTGCCCATGGGAGGTTCCGCCGTCTGCAGCATGATGTCCCGCTTTAGCTGGTTTATCTCCGTCGCTAGTAGCCTTCCATCCCATTCTCCCTACTTCCATCCCCTTCGCCCTACTTCCATCCCCTTCTCCCTGCTTCCATCCCCTTCTCCCTGATTCCATCCCCTTCTCCTTGCTTCCATCCCCTTCTCCTTGATTCCATCCCCTTCTCCCTGATCCATCCCCTTCTCCCTGATCCCATCCCCTTCGCCCTCATTCCATCCCCTTCTCCCTCATTCCATCCACTTCTCCCTCATTCCATCCCCTTCTCCTTGATTCCATCCCCTTCTCCCTCATTCCATCCCCTTCTCCCTGATTTCATCCCCTTCTCCCTGATTCCGTCCCCTTCTCCCTCATTGCATCCCTTTCTCCATGATTCCATCCCCTTCTCCCTGATTCCATCCCCTTCTCCCTCATTCCATCCCCTTCTCCCTCATTCCATCCCCTTCTCCCTCATTCCATCCCCCTTCTCCTTGATTCCATCCCCTTCACCCTCATCCCATCCCCTTCTCCCTGATTCCATCCCCTTCTCCCTGATTCCATCCCCTTCTCCCTGTTTCCATTCTCCCTTTTTCCATCCCCTTCTCCCTGATTCCATCCCTTTCTCCCCGATTCCATCCCCTTCTCCCTGATTCCATCCCCTTCTCCCTCGTTCCATCCCCTTCTCCCTCGTTCCATCCCCTTCTCCATGATTCCATCCCCTTCTCCCTCGTTCCATCCCCTTCTCCCTGATTCCATCCCCTTCTCCCTGATCCATCCCCTTCTCCCTGATCCCATCCCCTTCGCCCTCATTCCATCCCCTTCTCCCTCATTCCATCCACTTCTCCCTCATTCCATCCCCTTCTCCTTGATTCCATCCCCTTCTCCCTCATTCCATCCCCTTCTCCCTGATTTCATCCCCTTCTCCCTGATTCCGTCCCCTTCTCCCTCATTGCATCCCTTTCTCCCTGATTCCATCCCCTTCTCCCTGATTCCATCCCCTTCTCCCTCATTCCATCCCCTTCTCCCTCATTCCATCCCCCTTCTCCTTGATTCCATCCCCTTCACCCTCATCCCATCCCCTTCTCCCTGATTCCATCCCCTTCTCCCTCATTTCATCCCCTTCTCCCTGATGGAGAAGGAGCGGGTGGGTGCGAGGCGGGCAACAATGGCCTGTATGCGTGCCACCTCCTCTACCGCCACTCCCCTCGTCATCACCAGCCTTGTTCCCCGCAGCACCAGCCGCTGATGGGCGCAAGGTGGGGCGAGGGACAGAGGAAGATGAGGAGATGGAGAGAGATGGCTGCTGCCAACAGACACGGAGGGTATACAGAACGCCCTGCACCTTCAGATGAAGGAGCTCAGTTTACCCAAAGTGGATTGTCTTCGTATTTTGATTCTAGCATAGACCTCAGGACGTGATCAGTTGGTTGTCTTACATGATTGCCTTGGCTTCTCATACCGACCTCTGATGTACCGTTTTTCTTCTTTAATGGCACAGACCGTTCGAGAGATGGCTTGGGGAGGCGAGAGAGAGGAAGGGTTGGAGGAGAATGAAGAGAGTGAAGACAAGAGTGCAGAGTGCAAGCAACAGTCACATAGTAGCAGCCTGCGAGCACGGGGAAGGCCCGCAATATGGAGTCCTTGGCGCCAATGGGCCCTCGCACCACCTGCACCAGAACTAGCATCACATGCGAGGACGCCGACTTGGTAAAAGCCCGTGGGTGGTGTCGACCAAAGCGGTTTACGAGCACGCAAATCTGTTTGCGGGCTCCTACTACTCAACAGGTCGACGCCGACTTCGGGTTTACCCGGTCGACCGACTTACCTAGTTGACGAGGTTCTACGGAGGTGCGTGAACGTCGTCGAGGTTGCTGTGGCAAAGTCGACCAACGTGGCAGCACGTGGTCGAATTGGTGTGGCGCTGGCAGGCCACCGACTTGCTACGTTGGCAAGCCGCCTTTCTGCAGCGTTAGCGCGATGTCGACTTGCAGTGCTTACAAGTCGCCAACTTTTCTGCGCTGGTGGTCGACGTGCCTATCTGCTAGGTTGCCTTGCATATGCTGTAATCATTGTTGCCTACTACTATTCTATCATTGTTCTCAAATTTTGTTAGTGAAACTCTTGCTATTCTACCCCGTGAACGCACAAGTGCTAGAGAACACAAGGAACGCTACGATCACTCGTACCACTTGTGCCTTCCCCATACTGTAGCTCCCACCGGTGTAGAGTGACTCTTCGCAGCCACTGCCGTCCGTGCTGCCATCGGGAGAAACTTATGCAGCCACTTTTATCTTCCCCCGTTATGTGACAAGAGGTAAGATCGCCGACATATCTCTGTTTGTAGCCGGGCCGGAAGACAACTCGAAGTTCTCTAGCATCTTTTCCGCTTTGATAATCTGCTGCTTGCGTTCCAGGACAAACGTGGTGTCATATGCTGTCAAAATCCCAGTTACTAGACCACTGTGATAAAAGGGCTTGTTAAGTAGCGGGTCAGTGCGCCCATAACTCCCTAAGCTAGCGAGCATGTAACCCTTTCCTAGGATCAATCAGGCATCCCTAGTGTTGGCCTTCTAACACCCCTCCTCGCACTGATGCCCTAAGGCACGGCACAGCGACAGCGCCAACATGTGCACACATAGGGATTCAAACCCGAGACCTTCGCTCCGATACCATGTCAGAATCCCAACCACTAGACCATTGGGACAAAAGGGCTTGTTAAGTAGCAAGTTAGTGCGCCCATACCCTCCACGCTAGCAAGAATGTAATCCTTCCCTAGGATCAATCGGGCATCCCCATTGCTGGCCTTCTAACATCGGCGTACCCGATGTATCCAAGCAGCAGCCCCACCTTGCACATACACAAGAACAGATACGGAGCGGGTTGACACCCTTGTTCGACACCTGATATCACCTCCACCTCCCCGCCTATCTGTCAGAATATATTTGCTGTTTAGCCTGCAGTGGGGTACTCTGTAGTGAGTACAACCCTATTTAGGGTTTGCTATTTGTATCCCAACTTCCTATAGTGAAACCCCTCATTCTCCTTTCAATTCTCTCTGTCAGTAGATCTGCACTGTAGATGCCCGATTGATCCTAGGGGGGGTTACAGGCGCGTTCGCCGGGGGGGTTATGGGCGCACTCTGACCCGCTACTTAACAAGCCCATTTATCCCAATGGTCTAGTGGTTGGGATTCTGACATGGTATCAGAGCGGTCTCGGGTTCAAATCCCAGTGTGTGCACTTCGGGCATCCCAGTGCGGGGGGGTGTCAGAGGTCCACTGGTGATCCCCGATTGATCCTAGGGAAGGGTTACAGGCTCGTTGTCCTGGGGGGTTATGGGCGCACTGACCCGCTACTTAACAAGCCCTTCTATCCCAATGGTCTAGTGACTGGGATTCTGACATGGTGTCAGAGTGGTCTCGGGTTCGAATCCCGGTGTATGCACATGTAGGCCGTTGCCGCTGTGCTCAGTCCTGGGCCTCCCAGTGTGGGGGGGTGTTAGTAGATCTGCACTGTGGATGCCCGATTGATCCTAGGGGGGGTTACAGGCGCGTTCGCCTGGGGGGTTATGGGCGCACTCTGACCCGCTACTAAACAAGCCCTTTTATCCCAGTGGTCTAGTGGTTGGGATTCTGACACTCTCGACACTCAATTCTCTCGACACTCAACTCTCTCGACACTCACTAGCCATGGCTCCTAAGTCACGCTAGTATTCTAACACTATCCAACAATTGACCAGTAGTATCTTTTGTGTCCCTTTGTGCATGCCCTCGAACCAACCCACGAAATGTTCGGGGAAGCCCATCAATCGCAGGGTCCTGAAGATGAAGCATCGTGAGACCGAGTCAAAGGCCTTTTACAAGTATACCATGAGAGAAAACCAGTCTTCGTTTGCGTTGTGAGCTGCATCAATGATGTCCGCCACCAGCCCCACTGCATCTGACAACCGCCTCCCCGGTAGAAAACCATACTGTTACTGTGAGATCACTTTGTGTAGAACCTTCATTTTGTCAGTGATAACCCCTGCAAGCACCTTGTATGTGAGATTAATATTATTACTGAAGAAAATAGAAACCAATCTCATAGGAACTCATTGGCGAATCCCTTTCTTGATGAACTTGTTCCTCCATCCAAGCTGTCACCTCATATGAGAGTTTCGTATGTGTATAGAGTACAGAGCACTGAACAGGGTAACAGTCAAGTCGCGATACCCTATTCCCCACGCCGACGAACTAATATATCAACTGCGAACAGCTCGGGTCTTTTCGAACATAGATTTACGGGGAGGTTACCACCAGATTCGGGTCGAACCTTGGACTGCGCCAAGACGGCATTTAGAACTAGGTACGGATCATTCGAGTACACCGTGATGCCATTCGGGCTGACCAACGCACCGGCGACATTTTAGATGACCATGAACGAGGCGTTTAGGCCACTCTTAGATAAATGCGTGATAATTTACCTCGACGACATCCTAGTCTACAGTCGTATTGAGCAGCAGCACTTAGCAGATCTGGAAGCAGTGTTTAAAGTTTTAGACGAGCACAGACTACTGTCAGAACGTTATAGCATATACTTTTGTGTAGGCTGTAGTGGGGTATCCCATAGGGGGTACAACCCAATTAGGGTTAGTACTTGTACCCACTTCATTCATAGTTCATTCACTCTTGTTTCTTCTCATGGTATCGAGCAGGTTCCCTAGTGGGAACTGATCCTAGGGCCCACCATCGAAAATTTTTTTTTTCTGCCCGAAGCGCGCTCCGCTTAGGCCCGAGTCGCGCCTCGGGTCCTCTCTCTATCGTCGCGGCCTCCCTCGAGCCGCCCTTGCTCGGCCGTCGCCGCCCTTAGCGGCCCGTCGCCACCCTACGCGGCCCGCCCGCCGCCCTTTTGACGCCCGCCCCGGCCACGTGAGCCGCCCGTCCCGTGCGACGCGGCCCCTGCGCCGCCTGTCCCGGCCCGTCGCCACCTGACGCGGCCCGACGCGGCCCGTGCGCCGCCTGTCCCGGCCCGTCGCCGCTCGTCTCGGCCCGTCGCCGCCCGTCGCGGCCCGTGCGCCGCCTCCCCCGGCCCGTCGCCGCTCGTTGTGGCCCGTGCGCCGCCTGTCCCGGCCCGTCGCCGCCTGGCTCGTCGCCGCCCTACCCTACCTGCGGCCCCGCCGCCCTACCTAGCGGCCCCGCCGCCCTACCTAGCGGCCCCGCCGCCCTACCTAGCGGCCCCGCTGCCTCACTCGGCGGCCCCGCCACCCTACCTGCGGCCCCGCCACCTCGCTCTCGGCCCCGTCACCTGCTGCAGCGCCGCCCGCCACCCTAGCCGCCCGAGCCGTCTCACCCGGCCGAGCAGCTGACCGCCGTGCCGCCCTTCAGCAGCACAACCGAGCCGCCCGACAGCAGAGCAGCCGAGCCGCCCAGCAGCCGAGCCGCCCGGCAGCCGAGCCGCCCTGCAGCCGAGCCGCCCAGCAACCGAGCCGCCCAGCAGCCGAGCCGCCCAGCAGCCGAGCCGCCCAGCAGCCGAGCCGCCCAGCAGCCGAGCCGCCCAGCAGCGGAGCCGCCGACCCGCCGAGCCGCCCAGCAGCTGAGCCGCCGAGCCGCCGCGCCGCCCTCCTTCTGGGCCGCCCGACCTGCCCAGTCTGGTGAGCACAGCGCCTTTTCACTGCACTGCCCTCACCCTACTGTTTGCGCTGCTAGTCGTCTCGGGTCATGGCTACCCCTAGTGTTCTCGTCTTTGACGGTGAGGGTCGGGCCATTGACTTTGAGGTCTGGGTAGATGACCTGCAGCTGTTCTTACAGTGCGATAGGGCAGACGGCCTCTCTCTCTTTGACCTCACCTCTGGCGCCTCCACTGCCCCTGCTGGTGATGCTGACGCCACTGTTCGCTCCCAGTGGGCCACGCGCGACGCTGCTGCACGTCTTGCTGTGCGTCGCCACCTCCCTACCTCCGAGCGTGCGCACTTTTGTCAGTACAAGAGTGCTCAGACCTTGTACGACGCTGTAGTTGCGCGCTACTCCTCCCCTGCCACTGCTGCACTGAGCCGTCTCATGCTACCGTACCTCTTTCCTGACCTTGCTGCCTTTCCCACAGTCGCTGACCTCATTACGCACCTCCGCACTAGTGACACTCGCTACCGCGTTGCACTCCCTCCTGACTTCTGCGCCAAGAACCCCCCCCCCATGTACATCACTCTTTACTACATAGTCACTCGCCTTCCTGACTCCCTTCGCGTAGTCAGGGACCACTTTCTCTCTGTCTGTCCCACCACTCTCACTGTTGACCTCCTCGAGAAGTCCCTCCTAGCGGCCGAGAAGAGCATAGTCGCTGTAGGGGCCTCTCGTGGTGACCCGCGCACCCCCATCTTTGAGGGGTGTTCCCCCTCCCCCCTTCTGCCCTCTGTTGCCTCTGCTGCTGTG